TGGCTGCATGAACAGGTGCATTGTCGTGGTAGCAAAACCAGTCCCCCATGTGCCACAAATCAGGCCTTTTTTGTCACATACTGTTACTCATTCTTTTCAGAACCTCTAAATAGAAAACTGATTAACAGTTTTGCCTGGTGGAACAAACTCCAAATGCACTATCACATCAAAAAAACAAATGATCATCATCTTGATCTTTGATTTCATGTGATGAGCTTTTTTGTGGCCAGGTGATGATGGTGTCTTCCACTGGCTTGATTGATATTTCATGTCGGGGTCTTAAGAATAGCGCCATATCTCATCACCAGTAATGACCTTGGGAAAAAAGCCTGGGTCACTTCAGAGCTGTTTGTTCAAAGCATGGCATGTTTCCACTTGCTGTTTTTTTCCTGGTCTGTCAGAACCCGAGGTGCAAATTTTGTAGTGACCCTTCTCACTCTCAAATCTTCCGTTAAAATTTGCTGAACTGAGATAATCCAAAAAACTTCCCCAACTCTTCAGTGGTCAGTTGTTGGTCTTCAAGTACAAGTGCACGAATTTTGTTAAGTTTTTTGTCCATTTGGGAAGTTGATGGAAATCCAGAATGAGGTTTGTCATCAATCGACATTTCACCTTTTTTGAAACAAGAAAACCACTCATACATTTGAGTTTTTCCCATAGTGCTGCCCTTGTAAGCTGTGTTCCACATCACAACAGTTTCTGCGCCATTTTTCCTGAGCAGGAGACAAATTTTCACAGATGTAAGTTGTTCTCTTAAATCAGTCATCACAAAAAAATGAGGTTTGAGCAAAAGTGCTTTTACAGAAAAATTCACTGTGACCAGAGAACCTTCCCGGGTGATGCCACTGGGTGCACTAACTCAGAGCGAGTTGATTGATGCTCACCTAGTGGGTAAAATGCATACTATGAAAGCCCAGCCTAAAGGAGCCTTTTTTTTCGGTTTGGGAGGGGTACCTCATATGCAACAATACTAACATACTCTTCTACTACTGTTGTTAAGTGACTCCTCTTTGAATTTTTCCATTCCTTCCGAGAAAAATCATGATTGTTTACTCTTCTTCTTATTGATATTAGGTGGTCTTGCTTTCTTTGTGTTTATCAAATGTCTCAAACTCAGTTTTCCCCTCCAAAATCCCTTTCCTTTTCCCAGTGCCTTAAGATTTCAGCTTTGTCCTCATCACATCCTTAGATTCTTTTATTCACGTTAAGAAGCGAGGCATTCCTTAAATGGGAATAATCATTTCCCTGTCTTGGCCACAATTTACTATTATCACTCATGTGCCCCACTTCTGGAGGGAGACTAAGTAAGTACCATGTAAAACAGACCCTCTCTGAATCAAGTTACCCAAGTTCAACTGAATATCCTACTGTCGATCTCTGGCTGACCACCCAGCTCCATGGTTAAGCACATCTTACAGATCTGATCTCTGAATAGCCTGTTCTTATCTCTGTTAGCACGATTATATTTACTTTTGTAGATTAAAGTCATGATGTGCGCATGCTCACGTGACTTACTCTTTGCCTTCATTGTACATATATCTTCGCACCTTGTCTTCCAGCTCCAGAAGAACTGACATTCTTAGACTCTCAGGCAAGCTGTGGCACATCTTCTTTGAGATTCAGCTTTCCTCTTCCTGATTTTAAACCATGCTATATTGCCTTGTTCTATTCCAGTGACTGCCTCTTGATCTATGTAGAGGTATTGCATGAGCACAATGAAGTGTTCTGGAATCCCATTCTTCTCAATGCTATCCATAGTTTGTTATCTCTCACACTGTTGAATGCCATTGCATAGTCAATAATGTACAAATAAGCATTTTTCTGATGTTCGCTGCATTCAGCCAAGATCTATCTGACATCAGCAAAAAATAATCTTTGTTCCATGGGCTCTTCTGCATTCAGCCTGAATTTTGGGGAGCTCCCTCTCAACGTATTGCTGCACTCATTGCTGAATGATCTTCAGCAAAGTGTCATTTGCATGTGATACAAATAATATTGTGTGATAATTTCCACATTATGTTGGGTCACCTTTCTTTAGAATGGGCACAGATATGATCTTGTCCTGTTGCAGGTATTGCTTTCATTTTGTTGACATAGCTGAGTGAGTGCGTCCAGTACTTCGTCAGCCTGTTGAAACATTTCCACTAGTAATCCATCAGTTCGTGAAGCTTTGTTTTTCACTAGTGCTGCCAGTATAT